CCCTCGTATCCCAGCATGCCCTGCTCCTTCTCGGGACAATCCGCCCTCGTATTCCCAGCATGCCCTGCTCCTTCTCAGGGCAACCTGCCCTCGTATTCCCAGCATGCCCTGCTCCTTCTCGGGGCGGGCTGCTCTGGCTCGTGGTGGGGTGGGGGGTGAACCCCAGAACTGGAGGTTTAAAGGCAGTTCTGCCCCCCCCTCCACCACTGCATCCCTGCCCTGAGTGGGGGAGCTGAGAGTCAGGCCCAGGGAGGGGGAGCGGGGGGGGGAAGAATTGGGGCAGGGGGAGCAGACCCCCACACCCTGGTCCAGCCCCTGACCCTCCCCCCACTGTGGGTTTCTGTTATGATTGTTTTGTTCTCCTCCTTTTCCCACTTCCACCATCCCCCCCCCTCGGCGCCCAGTACTTTGATGAGGAGATGGAGTACTATGAGTACCCTGACTCTTACGGGAATAAAGAGGATGGGAACGTGCCCCTCCCCACGCCTTCGGGGGGCAAAGTGGAGCAGGTAACCGGGGGGGGGGGCAGGCTCTGCTCCCCCCCACCGTCTGTCTGTCTGTCCCAGCTCCCGTTGTGTCATTGAGTCTCATCCGCTCATGCCAGTGTCGTCCGTCGGTCCATCCATCCATCCATCCATCCATCCATCCATCCATCCATCCATCACTGCTTCATTTCACCCCCAGAGCAGGAGCGCGGGCGGCACGGGTTGGGGGGGCAGGGAATGGGGATACTAGTGGGGGCAAGCCATGCCCCTCACACATTGTAACCTGCTGGTGGGGCCTCCTGGTGGGAGGCAGAGGGGAGGAAATCCATACACATGGGGATCCCAAGGACAATGAGGGCTCTGGGGTGACCCCCGGAGATTTGGGGTGCTCTGTAAGTATCCAGGTCCCCGGGGCAGAGGGGGTCTGGGGTGACCCACGGATATTCGGGGTGCTCTGTATGTATGCAGGTCCCCATGGGCAGAGGGGGTCTGGGGTGACCCCTAGAGATTCAGGGTGCTCTGTGTGTATCCAGGTCCCCGGGGCAGAGGGGGTCTGGAGTGACCCCTGGAGATTCAGGGTGCTCTGTATGTATGCAGGTCCCCATGGGCAGAGTGGGTCTGGGGTGACCCCTGGAGATCTGGGGAGCTCCGTATGTATCCAGGTCCCCAGGGCGGACGGGGTCTGGGGCAACCCCTGGATATTTGGGGTGCTCTGTATGTATGCAGGTCCCCATGGGCAGAGGGGGTCTGGGGTGACCCCTGGAGATTCGGGGTGTTCTGTATGTATGCAGATCCCCATGGGCAGAGGGGGTCTTGGGTTACCCCTGGATATTTGGGGTGCTCTGTGTATATGCAGGTCCCCAGGGGCAGAGGGGGTCTGAGGTGACCCCTGGAGATTTGGGGTGCTCTGTATGTATTCAGGTCTCCAGGGTGGAGAGGGTCCGGGGTGACCCCTGGAGATTCGGGGTGCTCTGATTGTAACAAGCTCCCAGGGACAGAGGGGGTTTGGGGTGACCCCGAGGGATGTGGGGTGCTCCGTACACCAGGGAGTCCTCGCAGCAGCCCCTGCACCCCTGCTCCCCGTGAACTCATGCCGTCTGTGTTGTGTTTTCTTTCTGTGCCCGGCTCCTGGTCTGTGTGTGTGTCGCTGCCATCTTCATTCTCACCCTCATCACCTCCATCCTCTTCCTCCTCGCCGTCGCGGCACCAGAAACCCGCCGGGCCGGGCCGCAAGGCGCCCGCCAAGCCGGCGCCCAAGCAGCAGAAACAGCAGCAGCTGATGAGCACGGCCCCAGCCTATGGCAAAGCCCCCGGCGGCGGGAAATCCCCTGGCAACGCCAAGACCCCTGGCAACGGCAAATCCCCCGGCAACGCCAAGTCCCCCGGCAACGCAAAGTCCCCTGGCAACGGCAAATCCCCCGGCAACGCCAAGTCCCCCGGCAACGCAAAGTCCCCTGGCAACGGCAAATCCCCTGGCAACGCCAAGATGGCAGCTGGGGGGAAACACCTGGCTGTGAAAAATGCCCTGGGCAAGGCCCAGACGGGGGGCAAGGCCTACGCTGGCGCCGGCGCACCCAGGAAACACGGCAACGGGTACCAGCAGGTAGAGCAAGAGCGAGGCATCCAGATCGGTGCTGGGCACCCCCCTGAGGGGGCAGCACGATCTGAGATCTATGGGGGGAGCATGCTCCCCCCCACCCCATCCCCTCCCCCCCAATCTATGCGTCTCGCTCGTGTCTGTTTGTCTGTCTGTGATGGGGCCATTCGGGAAACGCCTTGGCAACATAAATAAACCAGCAGATGGAGAATGTGGGGAAGGCCCCAAATCCCATTCCCTGCCCCCCTGAGCCAGCCAGTCCCTGCCCTGGGGCCAGATTGGAGCCGGTGCCCCCTAGAGGGGAAAGGTCCTGTGTCCGATTCCTTGCCCCCCTGAGCCAGCCAGTCCCTGCCCTGGGGCCGGATGGGAGCCGGCGCCCCCTAGAGGGGACAGGCCCCTGCCCCATTCCCTGCCCCCCTGAGCCAGCCAGTCCCTGCCCTGGGGCCGGATGGGAGGGAGTGCCCCCTAGACGGGAAAGGCCCCATGTCCCACTTCCCTCACATTTTCTCTCTGTGTTTATTTATCTTGCACCTTCTTTCCCATGAATGGACACCCCAAGTCCCGCTTGAGTGACAAGGGGTAGTCGCTCCCTGGCAGGGGGCGCTGCAGGGGGGCGCGATTCCATCAGCGATCGGTTTGTCTCTATGTGTCCGGGAAAACGATCCGGGATGAATCCAGTTCCGCTGTCCCTGCCCCTTCCTCAGGGCAGGGGGGAGAACAAGAATAACCTACTAATACTTCTGTCCTCTTTCTCTCTCTCCTCTAATCCATCTATCCCTTTGCATATCTGTCAAACCATCCTCATGCATGTATCTCCATCCATCTCCATGCACTTCCGTTCGTCCACTGCATCCATCCATCCCTCTGCATATCTGCCTGTCTGTCCATCTGTCTATCCATCCCTGTGCATGTTTATCCATTCATTGCATCCATCCGTCCATCTGTCCTCATGCATATCCATCCATCCATTCATTGCATCCACCCATCCCTGTGCATATCTGCCTGTCTGTCCATCTGTCTATCCATCCC